CTGCCTATGTCTATTTATTACGGTGCCTGTCACTGGGTCCCATGTCCCCCACCACAGCATGCAGCAAACCTCAAGCGTAAGCACAGACATTTATCTTCTTGCTTTTAACATCTACCTTTCTTTTTTTTATTAGCTTTTTTCTAGCCTTGAGAATTCTTGAAAACTGCAGAGGGAGCAACAGCAGGGACCAAAGCAAAGCTTTTAAGTCCCTGTTTTTTGTTTTGTTTTAAGAGCAGTGCTTCCCACTCTAATATCTAAGCCATTACATTTACAATCAAGTGATGGCATTACATGCAATTAAAAGGAGACTGAATCAGCCAACTCTACACGTAAACTTTTGATGAAATTTTTCGTGAAAAAACACTTCTGAAAATGCTAAGTTTTTAAGCCTTTTGCTCCTTGAATTCATCTATGCCAATCATGCGTTATGATTACGTTCAAACAAAATAATAATATTTGTTTCATTTCCCGCCTATCTGAGGTATGCAGAAAACAATGTTTTCTAACCCATTTTAGAGAAAAGGTAAGACCCACAGCTGTGGAATAAGCAAATCGCCCTGGGGCTGTTTTCAGTCAGCTGCATTTCTTCCTCATGCCGTTCTCTTTGCTCCGGGTCATGCACGTATCAGAGATCTCCACCTACGCTGGTGGATTGGTGTCAGTGGCTTATTGCTGACAGGGCAAGCCCCCAGGAAAGCTGGGACAGGTGACAGCTCCCGTTCACACACATCGCTCTGATAGAATTACTATGGCTAAAGGGAAATAATTTTATTCTTTGCATTATGGCAGAAAGTCCAGTGTGGTTTTCTCTCCCCCAGACAGAAAGCAAGCTAAGGAACAAGCATTGCCAGGCTTGGTAAGTTTGGGAGCAATGATGTGCATCGTCCCACCTCCAATAGCACCTCCACACTCCTGGAATGGAGCAGTAAGGAAGAAAGACCAGGGTTTTCTGCTTGCACAGGACCCATTACCAGAGCAGCTCAAACCCCCATCACAGTTTTTTTGTGGGATAGGATGTTGCGAAGTCTAGTAATGGAGTTAGAACTTCAAAGTAAATGGTTTTGTAACAGTTCACAGTTGCATCTTTTGAGATTAGGATTTGAAGGAGATGATAGAGAAGGTGTGGTATGAAGAGGGGTAGGTTAACATGACCTACAACATTACATGCCCACAGAGCTGAGCGTGTTCAAACCTATTTCCTGAGCATCTTTGTGTTTCCTTCCCTCTCTTCTTTCGCTTCAGTTAGACTAATTACTGTCATTTTGCTTTCTTTAGATCTTCCATTCTCACACGCCTCTGTCTTTCATATCTGATTTTGAAGTTTGAAATTTGAGCTTCTATGCCATAAGGGACAGTCCCAGTCACAGCTGGATTGTCAGGATGGAAGGAAACGTTATCAGAAGTTAAATCTCTTGGAAGCAAAAGAGCTGAATTAACAGATCACTTCTGAAAGACTCTGTAGGAAAAGCTACATTCTTTTTTGCTGAGTTCCTTTTTTTCCCTAGCTGGTAGGAAAGGCTGAGTTGGGTGCCCTAGAGTTTGAGTGTCCTCCTTTGACCACTGAACCTTCCTTACGTCCCTCCCTCACGATGGCTGCAGGATCAAAATGCTTAGCACACAGGATTCTTTTCCACCTTGCTCTTTCCAAAGCTGAAGACAACAAGATAAACAGGTTTATAAACTTGGATTGCTTAATCTACATACTCTAGGCATTAAACCTGCTGAGACTGTTTATCTCACTGTAATTACTTTCATTCAGACTGTTAAAGCCAGAATCATTAGCCTAGGTTACGATGACCTGTACGCATGTTTAAAGCCCATTTATCCTATTAAAGAGATTTAAAATTTGTCTCGTTTCGCAAGATGTCACTGATTCTTGATTTATGATTTGGACATGCTGTTAAAGTAAAAGCAATTACCTCTCTTACAGTCAAAGCCCACTGCCTCAAGGTTGCCAGATGAGATCTATAAATGAAAAGCAACAGCTCTGGTTTTCAGCATGAATGACAAATGCAACGGCTATTGAAATGCTGCCTACGCCGGGGTCTGCTTACCAGGGAGCACTACATCAGCTGACAAGTTTCAGCAGGAGCTATTACACCTCACGCTACTTAGGAGCCAATGCCAACGTGCTGGTTGCTTCCTGTCAGTGATGTTATTTTCTGATCATTTGCTCTGTGTTTTTCTTTGGGTTTTTTTTTTTTTTTTTTTTAAGAAATTAGCAAGGAAAAAAAAATCTGCTAATCTCTGGATTTCTTTATGCCACCTTCAGAGAGTCAAAATCATTCAGTTGAACATTTTTCCTTTGAAGCCTTCCTGAATATTGTTTCAAATGAAGTTTCTCTGGTTGTTCCTAGCAATACAATGACTCTACAAGGATAAAGTTGATTGTTGCACAAGTTGGAAAATCTGAAATGCGGTCACAGACTAGGATAAGTGAGGCAAAGTTTTGTCCCAGAAAGGATCCCAGTGCCAGTGTCCTTTGGAAAAATTACCATAGTCTCATAGTTTTGCCTCATATATACTGTGAGTGTGACTGGAGGTCTAAAGGGCTCACCCACACACCTGGGTGTCTGATGGTCAGACATTGACCCTGAATGAAACACAAGCCAGTTTAGTTGTGCCTGTGCCCAGACCAGCTAACTGGGACATACAGAAACTACTCAGTCTGCCTGGATATCACCAAGACCTGAAAACACCCTGGAAGCATCTTCGAGACAAAGGATATGCATAAAAAATATGCCCTGCTCGGGGAGTGGGCATTATAATAATTCTTCCTATGAGGCTATAAGTAAAACAAACAAACAAAAAAAAAAACCCCACACATCCAAACCAGAATACTCACACCTAAAAACAAGTTATTCCCTCTCTTCTCAGCATAGCAGAGTCAAACTGGCAAGACCTTCAGGAGAATTCTCTAATAATCACCTATTTCCTCGGGTATGAGGGTATTCTAGTCACATAAGTACACTTTAAATGGACTTTAGTTTAGAAATAACTAAGATTTTGTTCATGGTCTCCAGAAAAAGTGATTATTCAGATGCCTCCCACCCTTCTTTTTGGCCATTATTAATGAAACAAATCAACTTCAGGTTTATTGTATCTGTATGTTGTAATATATGGATGCCTTTGGCCCACAGAACAAAGTTGTACATAAAACATTACTAACATAGAAAGTATAAGGTGACCGGAGTATAGGCTGCCTGATTCATAACAGCTGTAGGGTCTGCTCACTGTCTTGCTTTATAGTGCTGGAAAGCAGCGTTAGGATTAACCCCTGTTCTCACTTCAATCAATAGCAACTTGCTCTTCATATCAGGGACTCGGAGCTCACCACTCTTATCAAACAACAACCTTACTCAACACAAAACTCACCTTCAGAATTCCAGTTTGAAAACCAAAGCTCTTTAAAATGTCCATAGCCAACTTTCTTACCTGCAATGGTGTAAGCAGTCCTACTTATTAAAGCTTCTCGAAAGGCAGCGATGCTCCTTGGGCACCAGCACTTGCCCCTCGTGGCTTTCTCCCCAGCTATCTAGTGACACAGCCACAGAAATGCCCAATATTTTGCAGCTCTTCTCCAGCCTTTCCATGCTGCCATGTTCCTTTGCCATGCAAAATGAGGAGAATGTGCTCAGCACAGTTGTCATCAGTGGCTCCAGTAAAGATGACAAAATGAACCAAACAAAAAACCAAAACCAAATGAATGTAACTCACCTTTAGACTCACAGAAGTTACATATCCTAAGGTCAATTATTAAATAACAATAGATGTCAACCAGAATAATAAAGACTAACTGGGGAAACATTTCTTTCATATAGATATTCAGCTTAATACATCTCCAACGTGCAAGATAATATTTCTATTAAGCAACTGAAGGAAAAAAAATATATATTCTGTAACTAGAGCTAAATAATATAGCAATGATTAAACTTTGTTATGAAGACAGTTACATAAAACAGGCAACACGCAGAGAAGGGATTTGGGTTGCGTGTTTGTTAGTGCCCAAGGGCAAAATTCCAGACCACCTAACTTCTACCTCATATAGGTGGTAAGTGAAAAACAACCACCTCCATGCCAGATGGAGATGAAGATAACCTGCTGTTCTGTAATTCCCTACCCCTGAAGGCATTCAAAACTCACAGAAGTCTCCTGGGTGCCGTGAGCATCCACACAGCATCCCCATGAGAGCTCCTGCCTTCCTCCTATGGAAAGGAGAGCAGCCTCAGAACTGGGAGGGGAAAGCTCTAGATGGGGGTCATTTCCTTTTGAATGACAAACTTGAAAGTCATTTTGTCATAGCAAGCCCTAGGAAGAATGGTCAAATCAGTGAGGTCAAATGAGCGCGGCTTTTTCCCCCAAAACACACCAAAACCTTTCAAAAGTGTACAGTATGAGCAATGCAAAAAAGGATAGGACCTTGTAAGCAGCAGCAAAGCAAGTGGCTGAGAAGCATTCCGTGCTTCTACAATGAATTCAGTGGAGAAGAAACAATTGACATCATGAGGGTGCAAGTTGCATGAGACAAGAAGAAAGGGTAGCTCAGAAGACAGACGGCAGATATGAAGACTTACAGGTATTAAAGAAAAAAGCAAAAATACACCCAACACAGAGGTGAAAACAGGAACAGTATTAGGAGAAACTAGCTAAATCATGAATTCTTCACAAAAATAAACAAGAAATTGTACAAACAGTGGAAATGACACCAGAGTTTGCTAACAATTAGAAATAAACAAGTACAAGCACATACAGATAAAATAGAGAATGCCCAAGAGAGCAAAGTAGCCTTGGACCTGATTACTATTTTAAGGAGATTGTTTCCTTCTTGGAAAAGAAATGAGCAAAGACAGATGAAAAACAGTTCACGTTGCTTAGTCTAGCAAAGAGATCATGGCATAAACATTAGAGTTATACTTCACAAAACCTGAGGGGGAGAGGTGCTAGGAAAGGGTCAATCATTTTTCATGTCTGTCAGGGACAAAACAAAAAGAAAAAAAAAAAAAAAAAGAGTATTAGTGTGAAGTTGCAGGATTCACATTACACATTCAGAAAATTTTGCAACGGTAAGAACAGACAAGTTCCAACACTTACAGTGTTCATGTAGTCTCATTTTTTATTTATTAAAAAATCACACACGTTAAATAGATAACATATCAGCATGGTGGTGCCTTTGGGAACAGACAGGAACTGGATAACTTCAAGATGCCTTACACAAAAGACTTTGTTAATCCTCTGACAGGTCATATTTGGAAGAATTTTGTTTTCTGTCATTGCTTATCTACCACTTTTCTTGGATGTCTCACATAACAGACATTTGCCTCAGTTTACAAGGCACGGTAGATGCAATTTAACAAAGTACAATAAATAGCACTGTCTTAAAATAGTGTTTTTCTCCGCTATCTCACTACCCAAGATAAATGCCAACGGACACCCTAGAGATTCCCGTTTCCAGCTTCTGCTGTTCTCAGCACCCTCGGGACAGGCTCGGCACTAAACAACTTGCTAATGAAAAAGTCATAGAACCAGACAGGGAAGTAGCAGAAGATGCAGAGAGGCAGGTAAGCCCCTTTCCCAGGCGTGTAGAGGCCGTGCGGCCTCCTGGCCAGCAAGGCGTGCAGGACGTCCTTGAGCACCGGGGAGAGGTCGGCGTCGCAGTGCGCCGGCAGGCGCACCAGGTAGCTCTTCAGCTCCTGGAGGTAGTCGTCCCCGTAATCGCTCCTCACAGCTGCTGGGAGATTCTCCAGGAGGTCCTTCTCTTGTTTATCCCACAGTTCAGACGTTCCTTGTATCCCTGCAGTAACAGTCATGAGAGAGCAAATGGGTTTGGGCTGAACTAGGATATTCATCTATAACAAAGAGTGAAGGTCTTTCCTCCTCTCTCAAGGTCCAGTCTATATAGTGGTCCCAACTGAGTCAATGCAGGAACAAAATATCTGTGAGCAGTTAAAACTGTCTTTATTGGAAAGGAGGGAGGAAAGAAGGAAAAGGAGAATCCTGAAACATAGACCATATGAAAAGCACACGGTTTATGCACAATTCTTTTACCATTTATATTTTTAAAAAAGCCTTCTCATAGTAAAGTCAGTGTGCTTTTTCCTAGTCACTCTGTCCTTATTCCTTTCGCTGCTATTTCTAATTAGCACTCATTAAGGGAGGTATGACTGAAAGGTACAGCAGGAGCTCAACTTGTAACCAAAACAGGCTCCAGAGAAATGTGCTTATAGAGATGGGAGAGGAGAATTTGGAACAGAAGGCGGCAAAAGCACATAGGAGAGGAAGCGGAGATGAAATCTTAGAGGTCATCTCTAGCAACATCAACAGCTAGCAAGCATGATGAAAGGTATTGCTGCAAATATTTTATATAGAATACAACCCAATAAAGAGAGCTCCGATACTGAGAACAGAAGGACTTTACAGACTAAAAGCAAGTCCTGAAGTTCTCATGCAGGAAAAGCAAGCCATAAAACCCAAGTCAACAAAGCATTGTCTGCTTATTAACCATGACAAGGCTAGAGCAAAAGGAAGATACGGATTCTACTACTAGTAATATTTCAGCAATTGATTTTGAAGACAAACCGTGACCCACTGCAAAAAAAGTATAACATGCTTTTCAGTATTCCTCAGTGAGCACCTTTCCCTAAGTTTTGCTTTCTCCCAGGCAAAACAAGTTCTTTGCTCTACCCAGGAAAAAGGATATATTAGTAAAGTAGAGGCCAGCAGTGTAGAGAATTGAAGGAGGTCTCTCAAAGAAAAGTAGATCTTAATTTCAGCAATAAAAGTGAAAGATGGGAAAAAAGTATGACTGCTGAGGATTATTCCTGACTCTGAGGATGCTGCATTACAGGAAAGATCCAATTAACAAAGAGAACCATCTAAATCATGAAATACCAACCTGTTCTGAAGCCTGATGGATGAACTGCAGCAACTTTAACTCCCCATTTGGAAAGCTCTTGCCTCATTACTCCAGAAAACATGGACAGAGCTGCTTTTGATGCACCGTATGCAGCATACTTAGGTAGTGGAATGCCTCCTGCAGGAGCAATATAGACATGATAAAGCTCAACTCCAGCTCTTTCCAGCTTCTATCTCAGTGATTTAGAAGGACAATTATAGTGAAACCAAAATTAAGCACTGAGGTTAAAGACAAGTCAGGGAGGGAATCATTTCTTTCAGGAAACAAGAAAAAAACCAAAAAAGTATATTTTGAATAAGCAGTTGGTTATCAAAGTTATGCTTAGTAACATCTGATATATATCTTGTAATGCAGAAAGAATAAACTGTAGTACATTTGGGGATAAAAACTGCTGAGAATTGCAATGACTGCTGGTTTCAGAAATACAGATAATGTTTTAATTCATATATATAGTGAAGTGATAGTTTAATAACACAGATTTGGTTGTCACTGTAACAGATATCAAGCTCCTATATAATCAGGCTACATAATCTCAGATCCAGCTTTGCAAAGGCAACTAATCTCCTAGTTTTTCCACCTAGAGTCAGAAGACCAGAGGCAACAGAACAAGAGTGAGAAAGACCTCAGTGCAAACCTTCCTCTCTCCAGGCTACCACATTCTTCCTCCTGCCTGCGCTGAGGCTGGGCTGGTACACCCTCCAGTATGGCCATTTCCAAGAGATAAATCACACATTTGTTCTCCATACATTTTATTCTTCTAAAAGAAAATATTTTGATAATGCCAAACTTTCAGGTAAGCCACTGGTGCCATTTATTTGGCCTTGTCCTGCAATGACCAAGATGTGTCAGGAGCTTCGTACAGAGTCAGGCCAATCACGTGTTAACTTTTCTGCTGCATGCATAGGAATGAGTTTGAATTTTGATTGCTTTGAACCCATTGAATCACATATTCCTTCTCTCTGAGGTCAGGCTAACCTCAAGTGCAGTTAAATTTGCTATACAGACAGAAACAGACTTGGCATAATGAGGCCTCACTAACTTTCCTGCTAATGTTTTACCAAAGGACCCTCAGACCTTGTGGTGAGGGGAAGCTATTTAAAAAAAAATGGCCTGTATAAGAACATCCATGTGAACAGTTATAGTTTAAGCAGGGTCATTAATTTGGCATTACTGGAACCAATATTCAGGTTAGGGAACCTCTCCATTTATCCCAGCTTGGCTATTCACGCTAACAATGCGAACGTCTGCCCAAACACACCTCAACAACTGACAGATTTCCTTCAAGTGTTGGCACTGAACCATAGACATAGGTTGGAGGTACAAAACATACTTATAATAAAAGGGGGGGGAAAATTAAAAAGAAAGATAACATCAAAGCAAGACTGATGCCATATCCCCAAGGTAAGCCATGAGCAGAAGGCAATGTCTGCACAAGTTTTCTAGGTACCACAACAGGGCTCAGGTAGGAACAAGCACACTAAAATGAGAGTCCAAGCAGACAAGGTAGACATTTCAGAAACAGCCAGTATGCTAAATCCTCACAGAAATCTTCATAAAGCCAAAATATCTTTCAGCATTTTGCATCTAGCAGGTGTCATTTGAAATTGAGCTCTCTTGCTCCTTAGCTGCTGGCTATTAATACAGTGATTACTATTGCTTCTGTTTCTACGTCTTAGCATCTCACATGTCCTCCCAGAATAGGAAGTTACGTCCTAAAAACTTTACTACTTTGCAAGTAAGTCAAAGTACTTTTCTAATATGATGATAGGAGTATTTATCTAGATATTAATTTTGTAAGCCTATTGACAAGTAAGACTGCCCAACACTTCCCTCAACATTTATGCCAAGGAAGTTGGTCATTGTCTGTGTGGCACCAGAAATGCATTTGGGACTTGTCCCAGCTTACCTGCCATACTCGACATGTTAACAAGCCTTCCCTGGGATTTGCGCAGCAAGGGCAAGAAGGTTTTGGACACCTCCACAGCCCCAAAGAAATTCACATCCATGCAGTGCCTGTACGTGCTCATGGGGAGCAGCTCACCATCTGCAGGGAACCCCAGGATGCCAGCATTGTTCACGACTCCCCAGAGACCTGAGGAAAAGAGGCATGGTGACCATTTGCTGTGTCCCAGCAAGCAGGGGGCAATCGATATTATGTTGACTGCCCACAGACTGCAGCTGGGGTAGACCAACACACCTAAACCGTGATGCAACCAACAGGTAAGAGATGCATCTAGCGAGCAGGTACATAACTATCTCCATTACAATGTCACAAAAGCTCTACCTGTATTTTGCACTTTCTCTGAAACTTTGAGATAGGCTTCCTTGACTTGGGTAGGATTGGTTATGTCCAGCTGAAGGAGGGAGAGTCTCTGAGAACAGGTCCTTCTCAGTTCTTCAGCCCCGGGTCCATCCTTATTCAAAACCCCGGCAAATACAATAAAACCCATGTTATCCAAGTATTTAGCCAGTGCATGTCCAATCCCAGTGTCACTTCCTGAAAGTATAATAATAATAATAAAAAAAAAGAGTTAAAAAGCAAGTCTGTCCTGAACCATTATCTTCCGAAAAAAAATTAGAGACACTCAAAGGAAACACTTGAAAATATAATCAAATAGAGGATGAATTGATGTCACTCAGAAATACAGTTACAATATTACAAGAAAGGGACAGAGTTAAGCACCTGAGGAACCCAACCTTCGCATAGATTTGATTGCTAGTGAGGCTCATCATAATTAATGCTACATTTTAATTTCTAGTCTTCTAACTGGAGTTTTATTCCTGAAAGATGAAAAAAAAATCCAAGTGACTTGTACTAAATGATCCATCGGTCCAAGACCTTGAAGAAAAAGCATTCTATATTTAATACTTACAAAAATACTTTTTGGCATTTCTGAAGTGTGCAGCTTGTTGAATGTGCGCTGGACCACCATGTATGATACCTAAATTCTTCCCGCTACCCAAAACCAGGGGAAAGAGAAAACATCCATTCTTATGATTCCCTGGAGCACAACAAAAAGGGCTGCAGCTATTCTGAAGACATAACAGATTTGTAGTATTCAGGTGGGGTTTCTTTTCTTCTCCAATCCCTTTTTAACGAAAACCTTATTTCTGGGTCAAATTCTTCCCAGCAAGCACATACCCATAAAGCTACACATTACTTAACCCAGAGCTTTACAGCACAGCTTTAACTTGGAAAGGGAAAATTTGCATAAGAACCAGGGGCAGTTGTAGCAGTCGTGAGGAGGAAACAGAAGCAGCATTCACCTGTGCCTGCTGCGGGGCTTATCCCATGCTTTAAACACACAAAAAGATCTGAGTCTCCTTGATGCTCAGAGAAACTCTACCTCTCCAGCCAATGTTTAAGCAATGGAAACGTCTTTCAGCCTTAGTTAAGTCTTGTATAGAGAACAGCTAGAGAATTTCCCTGCTTTAGTTCTCTATCAAATATACATGAACAAGCAGGAGATTTATTTTTAGAAAGGCAGCCAGTACTGAGTGCAGCCAAAGCATTAGGCAGAATTCATTACTGGGAACTCATACAGGGCAGCAGAAGCACCAAGGCAAACACTAAAACTGAGAAGATGAAGTTACCTGAAAAAGTTAATCCCACTGAACATAAAATAGTTAAAGGGAGAGTTTTATACCTCCTGCCTCTTGGGATCTTCATGATAATGTAAGTCCTGGAGACCCAGCTTACCGAGCCTATGAAAGCATGGAAAAGATTTCCTACAGCATTGTCAGCGTGTCCGCTTACCCAGGAGTTTCTATTTAAGGACACCTGAAGTGCTCACTCAAAAGGAGAGAGGATCGGTAGAAACTTGAATCATTTCAGCACTGCTCAAACACCTGCAGTTATTCACATGAGAAAGCTGGTGATAATGGGCAGTTTTGCCTTATGGTGGTGCTTAAGTTAATAGCAGGCAGCAACAAAACCAGCTCAGTGGTCGTGCACAGAGGACCAGAAGAGCATCTGACAGTACTCAAAGGTTAATCCATCCTCCATTAAAATGCAGTTATCTCAGGAGGGGTAGATGGCAGCTCTTTAGAAGAGCACAGCAACACTCTTCAACGCTGGAGAGCTTTCGGGGGCTGTGGTGACATCATATCCCATGAAGTACCTGCCTCCGAGCTTGTCGAAACTGGAGAACGTGACATCAAAACTGATGGAAAGCCACCTCTCTACTGCGTACACACTTACACGCAAATCCTGCACTTAGAAAGGGGAAGAGCACTACAGTCAGAGCAAATTAACCCAGAAAAAGCCTCAAGTAAAACTTTTGTTTCACTTGATTGAGGCTTGATAGACTGCATGCCAGCCTGGATTCAAGTAACAGCAGAGAAGAGTCTCCTCAGAGGTTTCAGCTGTGTCCAAACTTGCTTTTCTTCAGGACAGCTACAACAAAAATCACGTTCAATGGCTGGAACACAATCAAACATCCTTCACGCGTCTGCGTTGCTCCGATTCAAATTCTCTAGAGCGGATAAGTTCTGAGAGCGCTTGTTTTACTGAAGAAGCTCTAAAATGCAATCTTAGCAAAGGAAGGAAGACACCTGAGTGCAGGCACGACCCACCACCACCCTGGCAGGGGAGGCTGCAGGAGGGCTCCCTATCCCTGGCTCCTGAGACCCATCTGCATTCACTGCACCTGCACAAATTAAGGTAGCCAGCACAGAGCTGCTACACAGGAAGGTGATAACTTGCTGCTCATCTTGTCCTCCCTTTCATTTTTAGTACTTCTTTCCTGCATTAATGCCTGTTAGCAAGAAAAAAAAAAATGCATCATTTTCCAAACTGCCTATCCAAAAAGTTAAGCTCTGAACTAGGGCGTTCTATCAAAGCAACTTAATTCAACTTTCTAGAAGCTAAACTAAAATTAAAACAAAAAGCAAGTTACAGCTGTGAGAAACAGTGGGCAGTCACTCCAATCCAAATGTGTGATTAATATAGGCAGTTATATTCACCATGTTTAGAAGCAGGGGGGAAAAAAGAAAGAATAACTTTAAAGGACAGAAATGACATCCCTGCAAACCAAAAGTGAGTTCTGAATAGAGCACTGTATTAATATGGGGATTGAATTTATCATTTATAAACTTTCACTGCTACTGAAAGAAACTACTGACTTGTGATTTCACACATTGCTACAAAAAAAAAAGACATCAAAAGAGTGTCTTGAAATGTATGCATGATAGCATGCCCCACACAAACAAGCACATCAAAAATAAATGCATATCAGTAACCAGCTTAATAAATTGTGGTAAACAAGAGTAATATATTAATGTCATATTCTGAAGGCCTCCAAAAATTAAAGTTTCTCCTAATAGATTAGACCATTGTAAATACTCTTTAACACGCTTTTTTCATTAGTTAGCTACATGAGTTTAGGTACTAAAAATAGCATCTGTTAACATCCTTTTCCACGAAGTTTCAGGACATTTATTTACCTGGAAAACAAAACAACTCTGGAAAGGCAGAGAAAACGAGCAAGAGGGGTGAAAGGAGAGCCAAGAGACGGAGCCTTTCGGGGATGCTCGCGCTGGGGCGCCCGGGTTTCCCGGCACCCCGCGCCCGGCGCCTCACCTGTGATGAGCACGGCTCTGCCGGCCGCGGGCAGCGCAGCGGGCGGGCGCGCGGCCGAGAAGATGAGCAGGGTGCCTGAGAAGACGAGCAGGGCGCCGGCAGCGCCCAGCGCGGGCACGCAGAGCAGCCCCAGCGCGGCCGGCAGCAGCGCCCGCGCCGCGGCGCCCGCCCAGGGCCACCCAAGGGAGCCGCCGGGAGCATCCATGCGACGTGCGAGCCCCGCGGGCCAAGCGCAGGTGCTGCTGGAAGCAGCCTGAGTTATATAGGGGCAGGGTGAGGGGTGGGACTCGCCTTAGAGGGTTGACATGAGTTGCAAAGCCAAGGGCCATAAAGCAGAGTCCCGCTTACCCTTGACACCAGCAGTGAGGAGGAGAAGTCTGTCTCTTCTTACCTTTTATTTCTTTCTGCCTGACAGCTCCACCTTCCGAACAATGTGCTGCCTGGATAATGATTGACAGCACTGGGAATAGATGGGATGTAGCAAGCTCTGGCCTCGGGACAAATGTAGCTGCTCCATGTTTTATGTTTCAAGTGTGTTCCCCTCGATAGTAAAAAAAAGAAGTATTTCCTTTAAGGGAAATATTTGGAATTTCCTGCATAAAAAAGTGAGTGGAGCTTCAGCGTCTTTAATTTTGATGGGGACAAAAGCGAGGCACTGCATTTGTTGGCAATAGCACAGGTTCTGGTGAGCTTTGTAGGTTAATCTGGGTGCGACATCTGGGCCACAGGAGCTTCAACAAAAGGCCAAGAATTCCCTTCCCTGCTTTAGTGACTATCTCAGGGTATTTACCCATCCCACATTCACAGCAATACTCTTCTTACACCTAATTGAAATACAAACGGATTCAGATGACAGGGAGAGGCTGGGCTGAGGATAAAAACAGGCTTTTGGTAGGAGTAGCTTGTTTGCAAGGCATTTTTCAAGAGAGCAACACCTGAGATGAATCTGCAATTGACCTCCACTGATGACATCATTAACCTCAGTTCTGACAGGAATCATTGTTTCAAACTCCCGAGCAAGTTGAAAAAATACATGCAAACAATTACTGATGTTGTCCTGCTAATCGGTTCGAGAGACAAGTCTAATTTATCACATAAGCAGCTAACATGATTCAGCTACTTTTTAGAAATAAAATGTACTGTTGACCTACTTTATTCTAGATAGAGACTGAAAGATTGAACTGCAGGGCGTAAACCTAACATGAGATATAAGCACTTTTCCATTCCATTATTCCTTGGGGTTTTATGCAATGGTAAATCTGTTAACTATAAATTTTTATGGCCAGTAAAAATGTTTACCTACCTCTGTATGTAGTTTACATTAGAGATGAGGTCATTATTTTAAAGGAAAATTTTCCTAAAAGTCTGTTTTCCATTCATGATTACTGTGAGCAACTCTCATTCATTCCTCTTGCATGGCAGAGTGCACAGAGTGTGGATTAATTATTTTCATTTCTCTTTGTCATTTGCCGCTTCTGCTTTTATTAGTCTTATGAGGGCAATTCTACTTGAGGTCAATGACTCTGTGTCCTTGCTTAAAGCTTCTCCTGCTTCAAGATTTCCCTTGGAGACTTGTGTGTTCCCTAGTTAAGGGTCCTTGCCACCAGCTTTCATTGCTCAGTGATGTGCTGGCATTTAAAGTGTCACTCGTCACATGGAGGATGCAGGGTGGGAAAACAAGGGGAATGAGCCACCCTGCCACCACCTGCAAGGAGGTGAGCGATGGCCGAGTGGCCAGGACCATGTGTGAGGTCCCACCCTGCAGTCCCCATGGGAGCCTTTGCTGCTCCCTGCATGTCCTCACCTGCATGCACCTATAGAAGACACGCACTGAAGGCACGGCACATTTCTGGTGAGCTGCTGACCATGCGTTCATCCTGCAGGGCATGAATAGAATTCTATATAAGTCCATGCCTGGCACATAGCAGGAGAGATGATGCTATTGAAGAGGAGAGTGTGATCCAAAACTGGCTGAGAAGCATTAATTTGGAGTGCCCATCTGCTGTACTCTCAGCCCAGCCTGTACTTTCCAGACTCAAGCAGATGCCGGATGAGGATTTTTCAGTACAATTTTCAAGTGAGACAACTTTTAATTGTTTAAGTTCCACCATCCATCTTAAGAAAGCATCCGCTTTTTACATCCACCAGTCTGGTACATCTCCAGGTCTCCCTGCTGTACATTAACACAAGATTGCAATTGAGTCTGCATTATTTCCTGCTTCTCTCCAACATGTCTGTTCATGTTATGAATATACATCCTTATCTCACTCCCATCTCGATCACTCTGCTGGCAACGATGGGGCTCCTCCGAATTATTGTCCTTTCCAGATGTTTTATGCCTTGTAAAAGGAAGTTGCTTCAACGTGACCTACAAGGAGTACTGGTTTGGGTTAATCAATTTTGAGCTAAGCTCAAGCTTCTAGTTTGCTAGGATATTTGTCTTTCTTTCTAGTTTTGGCGAGGCCTCACACAATAATTCAGTGCACTGTCCCTATATGCTCTAACCATCTACATATTCTATACAGAAGGCTGAACACTGCTTCCATAGACAGGCTATGATAATGCCAAGCAGCAGAAGAGAAATGACTCAGACCAGCTTCCTGGCTAAGCCATTCTGCTGTCTGATTACTTACCCTCATAAAGCACTCCGGTCTCCGTGCACCGTTTTGACAGTTTTGTTGGGTTTTGACTTGGATTTTGCAGAACTCAGGTATGCTCCTCACTCCAAGTCTCTTCATGCTGAAAGCTATCTTTGGAAAGTCAATTAAAGCAATAACTTAAGAACGTGCCTTTTATGAAGGCCCTTCATGGTACTCCACACCGTGAATATCCAGTCACTACATGATGTCTTGAGTCTGAATCACAGCTTCTTGAAATGCGGCGCCAACATCTTTTTCCTGGTAATGAGTGTTCTTCTGCCTTCGCTTCTCATGCCTTCATTTCCAGTTCCAAACCTTTCCTGCTGGGTTTGATTCATTCAGTGACTGCTTCTGAGGATTTCTAACCCAGCAGCAGCACCCAGCTCAGCCACCAGGCCACCAGCACGTCTGTTATCGTTCCTTGCACCATTTTTCATTTCTTTGGCCAAAGTTCTCCTGTGCTTTTTGTCTTTTTCCAGTAACTCACGGAACAAGATTTCCTCTTTCAGCATCTTCTCTTCATCCACATGTGACATCCAATACTTATCCAATGTTTGGTTTATGTTGATATTCCTCTGTCCCTGCTGTACCATGAATTACACTGTCTGCAAGCACTAGCCATTTTTCTTCATGTCCAATCCCTATCTCAGTTTCCTCTGTCTCTGACAGTCACAGATTTGTTTTTCAGCTGAAACTGGAGGTTCTCACACAACTCTGTAGTGTTCAGATTTGCTCTGTTGTGTTTAATGATGCAGACTTGTCCTGTTTCAGCCGTGCGATGCAGCGGCTGTCGCTCCTTCAAGTGCCGTTGTTGTTTGGGTAGGGGATGTCCATTAGGTTCTGTGGGGAGGTTCTTGGCTAGGAGGCTTTTCTTGGAAAATAAAATCGGTAGAAAATAGGGCAGAATTTATTTCAACAAACAGATGATTAACCAAGTTAGGAGAAAGATTCCGAGGAAAAAAAATATATGTATAAGCAGAAAAAGTATTATTCACTTGGATTGACTACAGCTTCTGGGAGTGCATACACAACTTCATGCATTTGGATTTTTGCAGGCTTACGGGCTACGCAAACAGTCCTCAGGCTATAAGTCCTGAATGCAGAAGTTATTGAACTTGCATACACAAAACCCATTTGGGCAAATAGACTTTGCACTTACAAATACAACTGAACTTTCATGCAAGGGTTGAGATAATCCTCTGCCTTCGGAGAGTTATCTATTCACATACTTAACCTAAGCACATGAATAGTCCCAGTAAATGCAACAAAACCATTCATCTGCCCAAAGTTAGGAATGTAGCCAAGCACTTTTGTGAATTAAGTTCTCTGAGCACACAGGCATGTACGGAATAAAGGCACAGAAAAGGTTACGTGCAACTGAAAAAAAAAAATAAAGGCTCTGTAATTTCTCCTTTTCTTCTACACTATTCTATACTTCTACACTATTTCATTAATACACACACAGGGAAAATAATTCCTGTAGAATCAAAATATATCTACTAAGGAAAAGAAATACGTTTTACCTCTCATTTATTGGAGATTTTGCCTTTAGAAAGAGAGTAACAGATGGCAAATTCAGAGATAGGCAATAAATCATGAAGATCGCTTGACAGTGAAGAAACAGCTATTGCTAACCTTATGTCAGTATTTGCTTCTGATAAAAACTAATAATAATAATTACTTCTCCAGCTAAAACTGTTACATTTTTAAGTGCCAGAACCTCAGAATGGGGAATTTCAGTACTGATGGTCAAGCTGAACATATAAAACCTTTTGGTAGGTATATAAATACATACCCATACATACACAACCTTAAAAAAATTGCAACTTCTGCTTTTTACCTGAATGCAATGAGTGCAACAGCTATATTTCTAAAGCAGCAAACCTCATGTTTACACGCCATATGAAATAAAGCCACAAGCCATAATTCATGCATTGCTATTTAGATGAACCCTAATCACCCTTTGTAAATGCTCTGCAATAGACAAAACATCTTAAATCAAAGGAATCATTAAGATTATAAGCACTCCTCTCTGCAAGGAATGTTTCCCCCTGTAACTCCACAGATGTCTACACTTCCCCGAGCTTTCAAGAACAGTTAAAAGTGGATTGCACTCTTTCCAACATAAGTCATTTTTTATCAATCCAATTGTCACTAGTCTCCAACAGGATGATAAAACCAAAAAACTAAAGGCAATTAGTTACTCTTTAGAAAGTTGGCCCAGAATCATCTGTAGGTTATCCTCATGAGAAATTACGCTTGCCTGCCTTTCTTCTGGCATCTGATAACATGAAACGGCTTGCACAGAACCACCAGTGTCAGAGAAAGAAGAAAAGGCATCAGTTTATCTTCGTCCACTTTCCTGACAGAAACTTCTTCTGAACATTTCCTTTGGTACGCTCAGTCCTGGTAAAATTCCAGCCTAAAACTAGGTCATAATGTAGTGGTGCCCTTATATATGAGAAATACAGATGTGCCTATAACCTAGGCTGGACAATTAGTTTGT